AGAGCTCCTCGGATGAGGAGCGAAACGTCTTCTGTTACAAATAAAGTCCAGTTGTTTTTGTATTGAACGCTTTTTGAATTCATCATGTCCTGGATGACTGAGAATCTTCACCAGCATGTCTACAGAATAATAATGGTAATGTTTTATAGTTTAAGCTTAAAAAAGAAAGAACTTTTGAAAATGTCAACCGCCCTACCTGTGTGTGAGGTGTCAAAGATGGGAGTGTTATTTAGAAACCATGCGGTCTGGACGCGGTCCACCTGCCTGCCTTCGATGCTCAACGTCACTCTCCCCTTTTCACCGACAACCAAGCGTGGTGGGAGGATGATCCCTGATACATTGAGGGACTTCTGTTTCTCTGAATGAAGTGAGACAGAGGAAGTGAAAGCATTCGAAAGAACAAAAAAGGAAGGCTATAGAAATGTTAAAATAGCTCAGAATCAAGGCGTCTTGAAACTCACTCATTACTTGTTAGAGGAAATAAGGTCTTTGTAAATTGCTACATTTAAAAAACGTTGACAAGACTGCACAGTTTATCTTCTTTGTTGCTCATCCTTTAAATCGATGTGATATTCAACATTTTTGACCATTTTTAAAAAGTCTCTATAAGAAGACAGATTTGTATCACCCAGAGGATGTAAAGAAAGCAGTACAGTATAGCTTTTCATGTTTAACAAGTTTGTTCATAAATGAAGATTCATCTTTGTTACAGTTTCTCACATTTGTAAGTGGTAATGCCTTTAGTGCTTAAACATACACAGCCTTGGGCCTGCACTCAGTTGAACTTATATGATCTTTGGAACATGGCTGGATCACAGCAAACTCAAAAAACCTTCTTCAGTGTGAACTCAGTCATGACAAATTAGTTTTTCCTGCGATCTGACTCCCGGAGACACTCTCTTGCGCTCTCACTGTTCTCTATATTTGCACCCTGGCACAATGTTACTTCAATTAAATTAAATTAAATTAAATTGAAATATACTTTGTTAATCCCAAAGGGAAATGAAATATTGTTGTAACTCGTTATCCTCGATTCATTAAGAGATGTTATAGATGCTGATGATGGCTGTAGGCAGAAAGGATCTCTTGTAAAGGTTCGTCCCACAGCATATCTGAAGAAACTGGCCGCAGATGCCGTTCGATCCGTCCACCCAGACTCGGCTGGCCTCTCAGTTCCCCCGGGCTGCAGGAGAGCCTGAATGCTGGGCAGAACTCCTCCCAGAATGATGGCCACTCCTCCCAGCAGCCTGCTGAGCTCCTCGTTGTTGAAGACAGCCGGCTGCAGGTGGCAGGGAACGATCCTGGTCCTACTGCTGTCACGAGCCGTGTTTCCTGCTGGTTCCAGGATCACCTTAGGAGATCTTAGGATCTCAGTGGTCAGGCACTCGAGCACAGCCGGCAGGGAGGCGGGAATGCATCCACGGCGCCTCCTTTTCAACTCATTTGAGATTTGGCACTGTAGCTGAGATATTTGAGCTTTTGAGATGTTAATCAGTTGCTCCAGATTGTTAAAAAAAAAAAAAAAAGTCATGGTTACGCATCATAACAAATGTCTAAAAGTAAAAAATACTTTCAGTAAAAATCCTTTCAGCTGCACAGCATCTGATACCAAAGGAAACAATCAACCCCTAAAAAAAGTGATTTACATTCAGCAAAAGAGGAATTAAAGTTTCCAAAAGCAACAATTTAACCATATCAAAAAGCAGCTAAACGCTGAGATCACGCCACTTTAGCACAAGACTACCGTCATGAGTATCACATCACCACTAGGTTCACCACGCTCTGAAACACTTCAGCACCCTCACTACAGGTGTTATGCTCACAATTGTTGTGGAGCTATCAGGGAGCACCTAATATGCATTTAAAGACCTCAATTGTTTTATAACACTACTTTTATTTAAATTGCATTTTTACTGTAGCTTACTGTTGACTGTACTTTACATGTTTGTCTAAAACAGGTCTCTCTTGTAAATGAGTCCTCGTACTCAATGAGACTAAATAAAGGTTGAATGAACAAGACCTGTGAAAATCCTTTTCCTGGTTAATTTTGAATATCCATTTGGTCCATCAGGGATAAACCATAGCTTTCTAAAATATATTTTCTTGGGAACTGTGCAACTAACTTTCTAATAAATCATTATCAATATTATTGTTTTGGATAAATGTACAGTTTTACTGTTAAATATGTTATCTATATTTTCATTTTTTATTAATTGCCTCATGTTGAATTTCCTATTTTTTTCTGTAAATGTGACACACCGTTAAAAAAACATTTTTATAGGTTCAAATTTTTGAAGTCTTTGTTTGACGTGTACATGATTTAATTGTGTATGCATTCAAAACCAGAATAATGTTAAAAAAAAAACTTGTGAAGAAAATGAATCAGTTCATTGCTTAAATTGATTAATTCCATCCATCCATCCATCCATCCATCCATCCATCTTCTTTAAGCACTTCTCCGTTGTGGGGGTCACTGCTGCTTATTTCCAATGTCATTGAACAAGAGGCAGGGTTCCATGATGGGTCTAAAAGATACAATCTCTATCTACAGTGAGGAAAATAAGTATTTGAACACCCTGTGACTTTGCAAGTTCTCCCACTTAGAAATCATGGAGGGTCTGAAATTGTCATCTTAGGTGCATGTCCACTGTGAGAAACATAATAAAAAAAATAAAATAAAAAAAAAATCCGGAAATGAAAATGTTTAACTTTTTAATAATTTACTTGTGTTACTGCTGCAAATAAGTATTTGAACACCTGTGAAATTCAATGTTAATATTCTGTACAGTAGCCTTTTGTTTGCAGTTACAGAGGTCAAATGTTTCCTGTAGTTTCACCAGGTGTGCACAAACTGCAGCAGAGATTTTGGCCCATTCCTCCACACAGATCTTCTCTAGATCAGCCAGGTTTCTGGGCTGTCGCTAAGAAACACTGAGTTTGAGCTCCCCCCAAAGATTTTCTATAGGGTTTAGGTCTGGAGTCTGGCTAGGCCACTCCAGAACCTTGATATGCTTCTTACAGAGCCACTCCTTGGTTCTTCTGGCTGTGTGCTTCGGGTCATTGTCATGTTGGAAGACCCAGCCACGACCCATCTTCAATGCTCTAAGTGACGGTGTGGGGTGGACAGGTGTCTTTATGCAGCGAACAACCTCAAACAGGTGCTTCTAATTTAGAATAATAAGTGGGGTGGAGGTGGACTTTTTAGAGGTGGACTAACAGGTCTTTGTTGCTGATTGGCAGGTGTTCAAATACTTATTTGCAGCAGTAACACACAACTTATTTAAAAAAAATCATACAATGTGATTTCTGGATTTTTATATATTTTTTAGGTTACGTCTCTCACAGTGGACATGCACCTAAGATGAAAATTTCAGACCCTCCATGATTTCTAAGAACTTGCAAAGTCACAGGGTGTTCAAATACTTAATTTCCTCACTGTAGTATGAATGATTACTACAAATCTTTGTGAGTGTGAAAACGCAAATACAATCACTAAATAAAACTTTTCATGTTCTGTTTTGTTGTCTGTCTTGTTTTCTCAATGCTTTTGGTATTTAAAAGCAGTTGTTTAAGCCTCTTTCCTGTTTCAGACCACATTTGATGTAGAATATTTGTCTTGAGTGTGACCATTTTGTTGTTTATTGCTGGCTGTTATTGCTTTGTTTCCAGTCCTTTTTTATTTCCAAGAATTTGCAAACAGACAATTTTCAAACTTGTGATTTTCTGCATTTACTGGCTCACAAGTCATATAAAGACTTGTGCACGGCAGGTTGACTCACCGTCTCTTCTCCTCCAGGAAAAGCCAAAGCAAAGCAGGAAAACCAGCACTATGGATATACACATCATGGCCACTGACGCTTTGGCTGACTTGGTTAACACTGGAGCCTCATCTACCAAAAAACAAAGAAAAGGAAAGAAAATCATTTCTAGCTTGAATGAAAGAAAGAGTGTGGTACCAAAGCATCCAGAACAAGATATACAGGTTTTGAAGTACTTTGCAACAAAAGTATGTTTGCCAATGTTAATTCTACCAGACCTTCGCCTACTTTAGACTGTCAACAAGATTTAAAATGGCCAAACTGAATTTCACTATGTTTGCAGAAAGGTCACTCATTGACTAAGAAAGAATCCATTACATTTACAAAAACAAATATCTTTCAAAACACTTAAAGCTACAAAGAAATCCCAAGAAAAAGTAGGTTTACATTGAGGGCATGTTGTATTTAAGAACGATGAAATCGTTACCTTGAGGATCTAATTTGTCCAGGTCTGCTGACGCGCTGACAGGACTCATAACTCCAGGTTGGTTTACAGCACACTCAACCTTCCCCTGCTTCTGCCGTTGCTCTGGGCCTAAAGTAAAATAACGCCTGGTCCTGAACGTCTGTTCTGGGATCTGATGAGTCAAAGGGGGGTCAGGGAGGGCCGTGCCATTTTGAAACCAGGACACAGACATTTCCTCTGGGTAGAAGCTCTCCACATCACAGTAAAAAGTGAGAGGAGTGTATTTGGAGGGTGATGGTACAACAGAAAGTCTGACATAAGGAAGATCTGTGAACATAAAAACTTCATTAACTTTAATTTTGATCTTTTATAGTAGTTGTCAGTCTTTAATGTGCAAGACCAGCATATTTATGTCACTCACGAGTGATATTTAGATGAAAATCCAGCTCTTGATGGGTGCCTTCATGTGACACTTTGCAACTAAACGTGACATTCTTGTCCTCTCTAGAAGCATAAAAGGTGAGGTTGCTCACAGCCGTGTAATACCCATCTGGAGTCAGCTTACCTTCCACCTGATGGGGAGGCTGGATAACTTGACCCCCTCTGGTCCAGGAAAAAGAGACAGGAGGAGGGTAGAAGCCACTAGCATGGCACTCCAGCGTGGTCTCTTTTTCTAACACCACCCACTGCTGAGGCACTGTGAGAGAAGGGGTGGCTAAAGAGAAAAAATCAGTTCAGTTCCAGTTTATTTTTAGTGACAATTTGCAACAAAAGTCACTCCCAGAGCACTTTACACCAGAAAATACAAGCCCAAAGGCTAAATCTAATTCAGATCCAGATTAGTTAGTTCCTTATATATTACAATACATTCACATTCAGTATATTATTTAATGCCAAAAATTAGTAAAAGTTGTCTAACAAGCCAGCAAACTGATTTATCTCTTCACTTTGTTGATTTCCTGAGCAGCAAGATGGCGACAGTGGAAAGAAAATACTTCCTTTTAACAGGAAGAAACTACCAGCAGAACCAGACTCAGGATGGAGTGACCGTCTGCCCTGATTGGTGGGGATTTGAAAAGACAGAAAAAAACAAAACAAAACAAAAAAAAAAACACAGAAGGACTGGTCCAGGTGCAGTTTCTATAGGAAGAAATACAAAGAAAAATAGAATGATATCAATAATTGCATGCATAAATATGGAGAGTAAAGACAGAAGCACAGTGAGAAGTCAGTTTGTCTTCTAGCAATCTAAGACTATAGCAGCATAACTTTGGGATAGCACAGGAAACCCAAGCCAATACCCTAACAATAGGATTTATCAGTAATAAAAGACTTAACCATAGTCTTAAAAGTAGACAATGTGTCAGCCTCACAGGCAGAAACAGTATGCTGATTCAACAAGAGAAGACCTGTCTCCTGCCTATTTCTAGAAACTTTAGGAACCTCAAGTAAACCTAGAGTCTGAGAACAAAATGTTCGATTAGGACATTTTAAATTACAGTATTTTCTGTATTTTCCAGGGAGGCTATGGAGAGAAACAAAATTAGACAAATAGATACAAAAACAAGTTTATGAAAAGAGTCCAGCTTTGAATTTTGTTTTAACTTTAAACTAGCATTAACAATGTAAATTAAATCACAAAAATAAACAGAAAAATGTTCTTCCCTCAGTATGTTTAATATTCGTTGCTCAAAGATGTTAATTTTATTTTGAAGTTACTTAGTAACTGTAAATTTTGAGGCTTTTATTTTGACATCGACGGTGAGAATCAGGATATTTTTGAGCTGTGCAGCAGGAGAGAGGTCGAATGTATATGTTAATCCTCGTGAACCCAACGTGATCCTTCATGTAAATCCTTCAAAAAGGAATTGCTTTTCAATCCGATTCAATGACGCCACCTTGTACAATTTGTTGCGTATGAAGACATTAAAAAGAGCAAGCGCACTTATCTTCCTGACTCTTGAAAAAGAGTTTGGCTTGCTGTTTATCTGTGTTAACACTTTGGAAGTATAACACATTATAAGTACATACCAAGAATGGTAAATGTGACGTTACTGGAGTGCAGGCTTGAGAAGTTGTAGCTAACTTTGCATTCGTACATCCCCTGCAGACTGAGACTGGCTTTGAGGATGGTGAGAGAAAAGTCCCCATTGATGAAATCAGCTGCACCCCAGCTGAAGCCGTCCTTTATTTGTGCGGTTGCTTCTCCGAACGAAGCAACTTCAGAGCCATCTCTTGTCCAGTTGATGTTTATCAGAGACACTTGTATTTTGTCTCCTGGAATGGAGACGTTGCAGGGAAGGGATGTGTTTGTATTTGGGCTGGCTTGGATTTCACTTGAAGACCCTGTGAAGCACAAAAGAAGTTAATTCTCCTCGTTTCAAAACTGTTTTCATGCCAAGAAACTTTTTTTTTTGGTCACATCACAAATAATGGCAACATTGAAGCTGATGGTTTCAAAAACACAAAGTTTGTTTTCTCAGTCATCCAGGTATATAACAACAAAAAAGGTTGAATCATGTCATCTGGACTTCGTTTTTTTGTTAAAAAGAAGGGTCAGGGTGGCTTCTGGGTAATACCAGATGGCTAGGCCTCAGACTGACGAAGCCTCTTGGATGAGGGGCGAAACGTTTCTTTTTAACAAAAAAACGAAGTCCAGATGACATGATTCAACCTTTTTTGTTGAAGCTGATGTTTAAATTATGTAAAACTAAAAAAAAAAAAAAAGAAATTGTGTAATTTTTCACCATTAGTTTTGTTAAAATCCACGAGCTTTACACACTTTTGATGCCTCGTGGTTTTAAATACATATTTATGTTTATTTAAAAACGATTCAAATAACATGAAAAAAATACATTTGCAACAAGTTTCTAAGCAGGCCAGAATTGTTATAAAGGCATTTTTAGTTCAAGTAAAGCATCTGTCCCAGAAACAAAACCTATTTTTCATCTACTAATGTCAAAAATATGAGCAAAGATTGCCACAGTATCCAGAGTTATAGTTTTATTATTTTCTTCTTTAGAATAAATCAATGAATCAGAGTTAATAAAAGAAAACTGTTCTGACAAGTGTGGTTTTTAATGAGCTTAATTAGTAACTAGGGCAATAAATACTTGTGTGTATTTATAGAGTTGTGCACCAGAGAACATTTTGTATTGAAGTGTTTATGTTGCGTGTTTTCTTAAGTAGGTTGATGAGTCATCGTGGCAACAGAACAATGCTTTTACCATTCTGTTTGCAAAATACAAATAGTCTATAACGATTCAACTCTAATTGTCAAAAGGAGCATATTTCCCACTATAATACAAATTCTAATGCAACAAATAAAAAGTAACCCCAAAACATTAAATTTAGCTCAGAAAATTAGTACGTGGCATATTTTTGTTTGGAAGAAAACTTTTTTTTTTGGCTGCTTATCATGGTGCTGGTCATAATAATCCTCCACCTGCAGAGAATGAGGTAATTCTATACAAGTACACAGTATTTTCACAACACATTATAAAAATAAAAAAATCATCAGAATCATTTTAAGTCTGGAGTAATTTGTCATTTCCCAGTAGCCAGATTTTCCTGTATTCTAATAAAATAGTCTTGCTCAGCAGTTCTTCCTGCTTCCTGGAGGTTTAAAGGTGACCTTGAATCTTTGGTTGCTTTTTAAATCGTTTCAGTTCAGTGCCTGACCATTTTCAGAAGAATGTATTTTGTTTAGTCTGATCTGTGAATCATTTAACTGTAAAACGACCCATAAACTCAACGTTCACACTGCAGGTTTAAACGCTTTATTTCGTTTTATCTGACCTACATCAGACAAGCAGTTCACAGCCTTGAAGCGAGCCGCATGCCGAGAAGAATACGTGACGTCACACGCAGCACGCTATGTTTACGGAAGTCAACATGGACTCTACACGTTAGCGTGTGTGTATCGATTCTGAAATGGTTACGCAGTGGGAGCTGACTAAATGGTTATCTGACATGATTGTTTCGTCCAGTGTTTACGTTTCATCTTATCGCTTCCCAGCTTCTTCTGGAACCGGAGCTGCTTACTGAAAATAGAAATAAACAAAAAACATCGATCCGCAACGCGAGTATCGATATGATCAAATCAATACTGTGCTGTATGGGCGAACACGTTGCTTTACAGGTTTGTAAATGAGTCCTCGAGGCTCAATCGGAACTAACCTGTATAAATAAAGGTTGAACGAATGGTATAAATATGATATGATCAATATTTGGTTCGATATGCATGCCCCCGCTTCACTGACGTAAAGTCGGATGAAATGCCCCATGCTGTTCAGACTGTCACTTTGAAAAACATCAGACATGTATCATCATTACATTGCCATTAAATACAAGAACCTGAAATGTTTCCATTAAAAAACACATGGATCCACAAAACACATAAATACACTTAAAACACTAACGTTATAGTAGCCAATGCATGATTTCCACAAGTTAAATCTTTCCTAATATATTTTAATAAACACTATCATACCAATCCTATAAGGTTGGATCATTTGATTTAGGCATTCTCATTTTAATAGCTTTTCTAGCTGCTATACGCAACATTTCAATATGTTTTCATAAATGCTGAATGTAACAGGCAAAGCAGTTCCACCTTGTTAAAAATTAGGTTAATATTAAATAAAGTGGTCAAATCTGCATAGCCTGCCAGTAGTTCTGTACTTAAACAGGAATAAACAATTGGCTTAATGAGAGCCAAGAATGACCAAATAATTGGATCGAAAGACACTTCAGCAGCAGCCAGTCATAAATGGTAAATGGACTGCGTTTATACATATCCCTGGCTTTCTGCACTGTGTGATCTGTGCTCAGTCTGTGTGCATCACACTGTGTTGGTCATGTTGCGGTTGTTGTTGTTATCCATTATTGTTTTTGTCGGTTTCTACTTTTTGGTGTCCTGTTATGTAATCTGTTCCTATGTGCTCGTTCTGTTTGTCCCTGTACAGCACTTTGGTGTGCTTTGTCACTGTTTAAAGTGCTTTATAAAAAAATTGGTATGGTATGGTATGGTATACAGTGCCTTGCGAAAGTATTCACCCTCCTTGAACTTTTCAACCTTTTGCCACATTTCAGGCTTCAAACATAAAGATATAAAATTTTAATTTTTTGTGAAGAATCAACAACAAGTGGGACACAATCGTGAAGTGGAATGAAATTTATTGGATGTGTCAAACTTTTTTAACAAATAAAAAACTGAAAAGTGGGGCGTGCAATATTATTCGGCCCCCTTGCGTTAATACTTTGTAGCGCCGCCTTTTGCTGCAGTTGCAGCTGCAAGTCTCTTGGGGTATGTCTCTATTAGTTTTGCACATGGAGACACTGAAATTCTTGTCCATTCTTTCTGCAAAACAGCTCGAGCTCAGTGAGGTTGGATGGAGAGCGTTTGTGAACAGCAGTCTTCAGCTCTTTCCACAGATTCTCGATTGGATTCAGGTCTGGACTTTGACTTGGCCGTTCCAACACCTGGATACGTTTATTTGTGAACCATTCCATTGTAGATTTGGCTTTATGTTTTGGATCATTGTCTTGTTGGAAGATAAATCTCGGTCCCAGTCTCAGGTCTCTTGCAGACTCAAACAGGTTTTCTTCCAGAATGGTCCAGTATTTGGCCCCATTCATCTTCCCATCAATTCTGACCATCTTCCCTGTCCCTGCTGATGAAAATCAGGCCCAAACCATGATGCTGCTACCACCATGTTGGACAGTGGGACGCCAAACATATCGTTTTGCATTGTGGCCAAACAGTTCGATTTTGGTTTCATCTGACCAGAGCACCTTCTTCCACATGTTTGGTGTCTCCCAGGTGCTTGTGACAAACTTTAAACGACACTTTTTATGGATATCTTTGAGAAATGTCTTTCTTCTTGCCACTCTTCCATAAAGGCCAGATTTGTGCAGTGTACGACTGATTGTTGTCCTATGGACAGACTCTCCCAGCTCAGCTGTAGATCTCTGCAGTTCATGCAGAGTGATCATGGGCCTCTTGGCTGCATCTCTGATCAGTCTTCTCCTTGTTCCAGATGAAAGTTTAGAGGGACAGACGGGTCTTGGTAGATTTGCAGTGGTGTGATACTCCTTCCATTTCAATACGATTGCTTGCACAGTGCTCCTTGGGATGTTTAAAGCTTGGGAAATCTTTTTGTATCCAAATCAGGCTTTAAACTTCTCCACAACAGTATCTCGGACCTGCCTGGTGTGTTCCTTGGTCTTCGTGATGCTCTCTGCACTTTGAACAGAACCCTGAGACTATCACAGAGCAGGTGCATTTATACGGAGACTTGATTACACACAGGTGGATTCTATTTATCATCATCAGTCATTTGGGACAACACTGGATCATTCATAGATCCTCACTGAACTTCTGGAGTGAGTTTGCTGCACTGAAAGTAAAGGGGCCGAATAATATTGCACGTCCCACTTTTCAGTTTTTCATTTGTTAAAAAAGTTTGACACATCCAATAAATTTCATTCCACTTCACGATTGTGTTCCACTTGTTGTTGATTCTTCACAAAAAATTAAAATTTTATATCTTTATGTTTGACGCCTGAAATGTGGCAAAAGTTTGAAAGGTTCAAGGGGGCCGAATACTTTTCCCAAGGCACTGTATATCGTCTTTTTATCTTATCAAGATACACAAAGTGCATTACAACACAATCTGTGCCCTCATTTACCCATTCATACAGCACTATACTAGATCTGTACAAATAATAATCAGTGCTTTATCACAACACCGATGGGACACACATCGGAGGCAATGCAGGGTTCAGTGTCTTGCCCAGGGACACTTCGGCATGTGACAGTTGGTGGAATCGAACCCTCAGCTCTTGCATTGGAGGACGACTGCTCTAATCACAGAACCGCACAGAAAGACACGTTTCCATGTTTTTAGTCAAATCTTTGAAAAAACCCTTGGAAAATACTGTTGGACCCATAATTAGCATTTTAGCACCAACAAGGTGATTCTCACGATTTCAACAAAATATAGATTAAATGATGAGGCAGCTCTCAGGTCCTGTATCAGAACTTTTCTGCCCCCCCCCCCCCCCCCCACACACACAATTCCTGAAGATGTGACTTTCAGATACTGCTCATCTGCTGAAGAAGGTTTTTTTTTGGCCTAATATTTTTTCTTTTGTCCTCAACTTGTTAATTCGCCTCAGTTTTGATGCATAAACTGCACAAAATCCACTCAAGGTCTTGTATGAAAGCAGTAAAAATGAGTGAAGAAGATTCCAAAAAATTTGGCGATAAACTTTGAAAGGCCTTCAGAAAGCTTCTAGAAACATTAACCAATACCACTTTAAAAGGTTACAGGAAATTCTGGCTACTTGGAGGCAAAAAGTAAAGATAGAGGAAGTTTAAAACTTCCTCTATCTTGACTTTGTAAAGTTCTGAAAGTTAAATGGAGATTAAAACAAATATCAGCATAAATTGCAATTTTACATTACTGTAACTCACTATAACACCTTACGTAAGGTATGAATGTACCGTTTATCTCAATTAATTTTATTTTGGCACATGGTACACATTTACGTTCTCCTGTAAATCAAAACTTTACAAAGATTTTGAGCAAAAATAAAAGTAATCCAAACAACAACAACCAAAAAAAAAAGTGTTAACAAGACTATTGGTGAATTGATAACCACTTCTTTGTAAAGAGTAAGTAAACAAAAAAAATTCCACTTTACTCATTATCACATGAGTCTGACTGGGTCTGACACGAGCACAGATCAGGCGCACGATCTAGACAAACTAACAGTTCACTGTCGGATCACTAACTGCCTGTTACAACCCAATAAAGGCTTACATATCTCAGCTCAAATCTGGTGATTAAGTGTGGAAATATCAATGTGGCCTTTGTGAGCAGCCTGCCAGTGCAATAATACAAAACTCACCGTGCTTTATGAGAGCCAGGAGCACAACACAGACGAGGACTTTACACTGCATGGCCAGCCTTGTCTTGAGATCAGGTTCTTATCATCAGGTCCGTTTGCTGTCTTATATAGAACTCCAAGGTGACAGTGGGCGGGTTGGGAAATAAGAAATATTGTTCCTGGGACTCAGAGGAGTGAAAGGAGTCCCTTGATGTGTGCACGTTTCTCCGAAACAAGCCAGAGTAACAGAGTCAAAAGGAGGAAAAACGAAGGAGATGTGCAGGGACACACAAGTGGGGAAACTGGCCACTTAAAATTCAGACAGGCCTCTGGCCAAGAGTTTGGGGGCTACTTTACATTGGTGCAGTGTTGCTGTGAACAAACGAGAGAGTAATCCCTACTGAGCTTATGTGGGCAAACACTCAGGCGAGACTACAGCTCCTTTATGTGGGGGTAAAAGTTAGTAGGCTGTTACATTTGAGATAGAAAAGAAGGTTCTGTTTCTTTATTCAGTTCCTGGTATGATGACTCCCTCTGACAGTTAATGTTTACCCACATGTCATTACTAACTGTGAGAGGAGAAGTATGAATATTAATGAACCTAATTGTGTGAATTAAAAACAATAATCAAAATATAACATGTAAACGGAGCCTTTGCTACTTTTATCATTCACGATTGTTCTCTTGTTTTTATTTTTTAACCTGTTTTGTAAATTGACAACTTCTGAATACTCTGTGCTATTTTAGCCATCCATAGATCCAAAGGTGCAGCTCATTCAGGACATGGGTGCTATGACCTTTGTCTTGTGCAGTTTTTATACTTTAAAACAAATGTAATCTCAATTTAAAAACATTTTCCCATTAGAAATAAATTGTTCTCTTGTAAATTTGCTTCAGCATACTGATTTTATTTTTGTCTTCTTATGCAAGTTTAAGCTATCATTTGGCTACCTTTAGCTTTTAGCTACTATTTTGAGACTTTTAGCTTTTCGTTAGCCTTTTGCTACATTGGTTTTCTTAGCTAGAATTATGCATCTTTTAGCTAGTGTTTCCCTACGACATTTACTTTTATTTTTTAGCTATCATTTGGCTTTTCTAGCTTTGGGCCAGTGTTTTGATTGATGTGGATTTTAGCTAGTGTTCTGCTTCTTTTAGCTTTAATAACTCAATTTCAGCCTCTTCAGCACATTTCATTAAACTCACTCAGCATTCACACCGTTTGTTCACTGAAAACACGAGAGCTCTTGTTAGTTTAGGCCATTATGTTTAACTTTGCACATAAAGTGGTTTTAACGGATCATTTCTTTTTAGAAACATCAGGTTTCTGTGTTTGAATTTGCTCGACAAAAGCCGGACTTAAAAAAGAATAATGTGTTCCTTTATTTTGTTTGCCTTTCGTGTTTGAGCTCACATATTTTCACACAATGAAATGTTTTTTCTTTCTTTGTCAGACGCTGTTTGCTTTGGTCAGGATGAAGAAGTGTGTGACGCTTGAAGGAGGCGAAGAGGAGAACACGTGTTAGTTTGATGGCAGCCAAGCCAGCTGAGAGAAGAAGGCATGAAATTACCTTACAGCTGTGGAGAAACTGACTGCGTTAACCCTTTAAAGTATAAACATGACGTCAACAAAACTCTTTTTGAGTGGATAAATGACAAAACAAAAGTATATTCTACAAATCTTAATCTAGACAGCAAAGTGCTAGTTAAAAAGTCTTCTCTTTAAATATATTTTGTGACTACATCAGTTTTAAAAACACATTATAACATTGTTTAAATAAAAATATAGTTTCATTTTCATTTTTTATCAGAAAAATATAGCTAAGGCAGACAGATAGGTGCTTCCCGGATAGTATTTGCATATCTGTTTGGAACAGGTTTGAGAACTCACGTTTCAGTGACATGAGCTGAGTTCACAAAGTTCAGCTGTGAGTTAAGAAAAGTAACACATCACTTCTCAAAGTGGAGGAACGCATTGTCATTTATTTTCAAAGATATGTTTTATTGAGGTAAAAACACAGAACTTTAATGTTATGTCCATACTTAGATAAAATAAAACATTTTAGACAGCAACTAAATGAAAATTATATTAAAATAAACAATGCATTAACTCAACTCAGTGGTCAAAACAGATCAGCATAAGTTCTCAGTGGAAAAAGAGAATCTGCATAAGCTGGTGAAGATTCTATGATCCAGGTCACGATCAATCAAAAAAAAAAGGTTAAAAACCAAAACATCTGGACTTCTATTCTGAAGCTGGAGACGTTTCGCTTCTCATCCAAGAGGCTTTATCAATTCAAACACTGAAAATAAATTGATAAACCCTCCTGGATGAGAAGCAAAACATCTCCAGCTTCAAGGTTCGAGGTTCTTTACTGTCATTCGCATCACAGGTGGTACATGAGGTGGAACAAAATTGTGTACTCAAGGTCCCAGTTACACCCATATATAGCAAAAAACATAATATATATATATATAAAAAGAAACAGCATACAAAGATCTAAGATTTATGCTAAACAAAAATAATGTAATATAATACGGTGAGGGCAGCACGGTGGCACAACTGGTAGAGCTGCTGCCTCTCAGTGAGCAGGTTGCTCCAGTTCAAATTCCGGTCCGGGGGCCTTTCTGGGTGGAGTTTGCATGTTCTCTCTGTGCATGCATGGGTTTTCTTCGTGTACTCCGGTTTACCTCCAGCAGACCAAAAACATGCATGTTAGGTTGATTGGTAACTAAATTGTTCCTAGGTGTGAGTGAGAGAGTGATTGCTTGTTTTGTTTGTCTCTATATGTGTCCCTGTGATGGACTGGAGACTTGTTCACCCCCGCCTCTTGCACAATGATGGCTGACATGAGCACCAGTGACTCCTGCAAACCAAAGAGGAAGAAGCGGGTAAAAGATAATGGATGAATGGATGGATAATATGGTGAATAGGCCTGTCATGATAACAAATTTTCCTGGGCGATTAATTGTCTCAGAAATTATTGCAATAAATGATAATATTGTTTGAAATTTGACAGTAATTAGTAATTTGTGTCAAATTTAATAAGAAACGTTTAATTTGTTTGGCATGTAGTACTTTTGTTCCACCACCGGATGGCAGAATAAGACTGTTTGAACCGAAGGATGGATAGCGAGGGAGCGAGCAGTGTGTCTCTTTAAGAAAATGGGAGGGAGGCGCTTTGACGTGACATGGGCTGTCTCTCTTCAGTTCTCAAAATGGCGGACACTCGGTGTGGATTGAGCTCTTTAGCATAGCATTTGTCACACAAAACTTTAAATAAAAAAATCAGTAAACAAGTTCTCAGCTTCTTTTTACATGAAGGCACGTGTTTCAACCGTGAATTTTTGCGCTTCGACAAGACGGAGGTTTTTTCCCCCGAGGTCGGCCTGTTAGCTTAGCTCGTAGCTTAGCTTCTCAGCTTAGCTGCTTTTAACAATTCAAAAACATGATTTTGGACGGTTAAAATTGATTTTAAAGAGAAAGGGCGGGGTCATTGAAAAGCACCGGAGTTGATCCTTTTGTCATCCAGTGTCTTCAGAAAGAGAGAGACACGAAGAAACGATAAAGCCAATAAATGAAAATGAGGTTGATAATTTTCATTTATCATGCGATTAATTGATTTATTGTTTATCATGACAGGCCTAACGGTGAATTAAACAGCAGCCTGAACATGAGTCTGTTGTGAGCAGATGGCTATACATCAATCAGCAGCATGGATAATCAGCAGCCCAGATAAAGTGACATCACCAGGTAAATTGGCATTACAGTGATTTATGAGTCTTAACAACCTCAGGGTAGAAGCTGTTCCTCAGTCTAGTGGTTCTACACTTAATGCTCCTTAACCACCTTCCTGAGGGGAGTGGGGCAAAAAGTGTGTGTGCTGGGTGAGTGGGGTCCTTCATGATGCAGGTGGCCCTCTTCCTGCATCTGGAGGTGTAGATGTCTGTGGCTCCAACAGTCTTCTGTGCAGCCTTCACCACTCTCTGCAAAGCTTTTCTTTCTGCAGCTGTGCAGCCTCCATGCCACACGTTGATGCTGGAGCACAGGATGCTCTCCATTGCACACCTGTAGAAGGAGGTGAGGACAGAGCTTTCCAAACCAGCTCATCTCAGCCACCTGAGGAAGTAGAGTCTCTTATGAGCTTTCTTGATCAGGCTGGTGGTGTTGTTGCCCCAGCTGAGGTTGTTGTTCAGGTGCACACCCAAGTACTTGTAACTGGAGACCACTTCCACTGCAGATCCTTTATGTTCAGGGGGATGGAGGGGGGTAGTTGTGCTTACTCCTTCTGAAATCCACGACCATCTCCTTTGTCTTCTTCCCACTGATGTGAAGGTTGTTCTTCCTGCACCAGCTCTCCAGGTGTTCCACCTCCTGCCTGTAGCTGGACTTGTTTGTGATTCATCCAACCGCTGCTGTGTTGTCTGCAAACTTTACAATATGACAGCCTGGATGGGTAAATAGTCCAACTGTTTTTTTTTTTAACCTTTTTTGGATCCTCCATCATAACACAGATGAAAACTATATGTTTGTCCCATGTACTGTAAATCCAATCTACAATAGGGAACAAGTAACTATAGTAATGGGCAGGGTGGGAGGGGGGAACTGGGCCTTTTAAAAAGAACAAAGAAAAATGAAAAGAAAACCCCAGCTATGTGTGATGTCACATGTTCAATGAAAGCAGTAAACTTGAATCCACAAACCTTTTGTCTTACAGCACAAGCGGCTGTATTTCATTAGATCTTGCACGACTGCATTTGCGGACTGAGTTAGCAATTTATAAGCGAAACAGGTTTGAGAAAGGTGTGTTCACGTGTTCAAACTACGTGCCACTCTGGAGTCAATATGCCAAAAAGCTTTGACAGAGTTTCTGCTCATTGGCAGCAGGACGCCTGTGAATGAACAGGATGGCAGCTTTGACTGGGTGGATACTTGTAATTTTTATTGTTCTCTGTTGGCAAGGTGGGCCTAATTACAACTTATTGCACTTGAAATGCTTGTACATTTTATTTCCAATGATTGTATCCTATTTTTTTAAGTTTAGTTTTAGATTGTGTTAGTTATGTTGAGCTTTCTATTAAGTTTGACATATTTTGACTGCTGTAATATTGCACTCATGCTTTCTGTAAAACACTTGTTCCTTTTATATGGACATGAGAAAATGTAATTGTGTTTTTTTTTTTGTACGTTTGAAACCTTTGTTTTATACCAACCATAAATATATATTATTACAAGTGAATGCATTAATGTGTTGTAGTTTAAAATAAAGGGTGCAAAAAATATAAACTATTAAAAAGAGGTAGAACTGCAACAGTGCCACCTTGTGGTTGTTTTTCACACTGATCCTTCTCTAACTTTTTTGAATCCTACAGAAGTGAAGACACAAAGTAAGTTCTATCTTGTTTCATATATTCCAAATTAATTAATTAATTTTTATCTACTTATGTGTGACAGAATATGTTGATGCACAATCGACTGTCTTTGCTCTGTCAGACTGTGGCGAGGCTCCTTTCAACACAAGAATAGTGGGTGGTGAGAACGCCGCCGCTGGCTCGTGGCCCTGGCAGGTCAGCGTACACTTCCTGTCAAGTCACATCTGTGGAGGGACCCTTATCAACAACCAGTGGGTGCTCACAGCAGCCCACTGCATTATCTCGTAAGATACACTCCACGTTCCTCCAACGAATGAGCTGATTTAGTTGGATGCATTTAAGAAAAATTGACAACTGATGTCAATTTTGAAGTGGACTATAGCCAACTATTCTATGTAGAAAAAACTGATCCAGTCAGTGACATTACTGTGAAAATACTGGGCTATTGTTCAGACTGCCGTTCAGACCCTTTACACATTCTCACAAAAGTTGTCTTACAGATGTCTAACACATAGGAAGTTACAAGAATAAGTGCTATATTTCTATTCTGAAGCGTTGGAGCACTTCCTTCTTGTTGAAACCTACAGCTGGTGCCAACACGCAACACCGTGGTGACGGCCAACAAAATAAGCCCTTCCTATTTGGCCACTCAAAGCTTTCTCAACATACTGTTGCGCAGTTGTCTGACAGTCTGGAAAAATACCCTAAAAAACCTAAAAGATCTAGCCTTCCTTGAATGAACGCATGTCACCTTTTCATACTAGAAGTTTTAATCAGATCTTCTTATGGAGAGAAATAACAGATTTGTGGCTGTTTTGGTCAAAACTTGAAAATAATGTTATGTGCAATTACCTTATTTCTAGCGTATAAGTAGGTTGTGAATGACTTCAGTTCCTGCCACATCTAATTTAGTTTACTATGTGGAAAAACTGGGTTACAGAAACTTTTGTAATTTTTAAGTTCAATTAGCTGTGGTGGCTCTTTTGAATTGGACACTCTATAACCGGGGTGTCTCACTTCAAATTTTTGTAGTTCTATCTCTCATCTAACTGTTTTAGAGCTTTTTTTTTTAACAATGAGACTTCTCTGTGTTTTTCTTTTCTAAAGCAGTTAAATAGGCCAAATGATGATAAAAACAAGTGGCTTGGTGTAAAAGACAAACCACTGAAAAACAAAAACCAACTGCTGTTATTTGCATGTCTGTGTGGTTTATACTTTAGCCACTGAGTTATTAATTCACCCAGAGTACCAGTTTGCATGTTTTGTTTCCATTGTTCAAGGAAATAAAATTTTCTAACACGCCAGTCATTCTATTTTGATTCTAATAGAGAAGTTGTCAAGTCAAATTTATTTATAAAGCACATTTAAAAAAAGCAGTTACCAAAGTGCTTAACAATAAAAAACAACAACAAAAAAATAAAAATAATGGCAGTAATTTAAAGAAAAAACAAAGATGAATTTAAATCCGAATCAGAATAAGCTTTGTTATCATCGCCCCGAAGTACAGTGAGATTATGTTCGTAGAGTCGTCTGAAAGATGGGTGGAGTGCACGTTGCTGCTTCTCCTAAGAGCACAGCCCTTGTTCCTTTTAGCTAGAAAAAGGGGGAAGGCCACGAGGAGAGGATAGTGGTATTACAAAAAAGATCTCTTCACACCTTGTCCTTATCAGGGCATGATTTAAGAAATAAAAAATCTCTACCAGCAAGCACATTTATAAACCCATTTATATGCATTTGATGACACGACGGTGAGATTTGTCCATGAAGCGCTTCCAGATAGTCCTGTTAAAATGTTGGTGTCAGCTGGTACAGCTCTGATAAGCATTCACAGAAGTTCTTGGGAGTTGGGGAGGGGGAGGGGGGTGGGGGTGGAGGTGAGGGTTGTGATAGACAGAGCCTTCTTAGTTTACACATATCCCAGGAGAAATTTGATACGACAGCCTGCTTCGAGGTCGAACTGGGGAGTCAGATTCAGATAAGCCACAGTTGTTGATTTTTCAGGCAGACTGTTATTTCTCATCTACCTTGAATCCTGCTGGTACTTTTGATCCAAAATGGGCAGATTTATGGGCATTCTACTGGTCCGTGCTTATGAGCTCCCTCCAAGGTCGTCCCCAACATGCTGGTGAGTCCCAGAAGCCGCAAGCATCCTGCGATTCTCACAAATTGCTTCCATCTTATGGTTTAGCTCGTAAATCAGCTGATTTTGAGTACTCGAAGCACGAACCAAACCTTCACACAAGGTCGGCAGCTTTGCATGGCCAAAAATGCTGCCACCGTCTTCTTTAATAGCCAATAACATAGGTATCTGCAGGTGTCAAAAAGAAGAAACCCTGCTATCATGATTTCAATGATATAAACATCTTCGGCGTTCTCCTGAGACAATACAGAAAGGCACATCAACTTCCAAACCACCCACGGATCCATGATATACCCTGCTGCGTGCATCTCAGTGGGGCATGAGGGTTCTCCAGGATCCTGTTGCTTGGTTGAAAAAATTTTATCGATTGCGTTGAAAGTCCAGCTGACCAGATCCATGACAGTAGTTTACGATTCAGAAAATGTGTAAATAGAAGCTACAATACACAAGACAGAGCAAAAACGCAGGATGAGGACGGGAGAGGGGAAAAAAAGCATCCGTCTTGCTCGAGAGCAAGTGAGAAAAAAGAAGCATCAAAAGAAAAGGAGAGTGGTGGCGCAGAGGTTAGAGAAGATAGGCCTGTGTTCGGAAAGTCGCAGGTTCAACTCCCCGGAATGACAACATCAAAATGTGGGTGGAAAAGGTGAAACACCCGCACTTGGCTCCACCCTCATTTGCCCCACTCTGGGCCCTTGAGCAAGGCCCTTAACCCCCACCATCTGCTCCCAAAAACAGTTCTCTCTTGAAAATGAGTTCTCGTGACTCAATGAGACTGCCTGTATAAATAAAGGGAAAATAAATAAATAAAAATATCAAACACAAAACAATAAAATCACACTGTGTCAAAAGTAATTGAAAACAGACATTTTTTTAGTAATTAGAAGTAATAAATACTGTAGTATTCTTGTTAAAAAACATATATAAATGTAGTTAATCCACACTTTACATTGTGTTGTCTATTGCATATAAGTACATATATCCATATATTTAACTTCTAGGAAATAAATAAAGATAACATACTAAAGATTGTATTCTTTTGAATAAAACACTTTGTCCTCTGAAACATTTCATTATTTATTTAAACAAAGACAATCAGTGACTGCATGGACCCTCTACTTTGGAAGAGAGACTCAGGCTGGCCCCAATATTAACGAGGTTTCACGCAGTGTGTCCCAGATCATCGTCCATCCGAACTACAACAACACACTGTACAACAATGACCTTGCCTTGATGAGGCTCCTCACCCCAGTCACTTTTACCAACTACATCAGACCTATCTGCCTTGCCAGCAGCTCCAGCCAGTTCTTCAATGCCACTTTGTGCTGGGCTACCGGTTGGGGAAAAACTAGCAAGAATGGTGAGGACTTTACACTGGTTTTGGACTGTAAAATAGCCCTTTGTAATCTTTGAAACTAGAATAAAATATATTTTTTTCTTTGACAGAGTCCCTGCCAGCTACGCAGCCTCTGCAGGAGGTTCAGATCCCTGTTGTTGGAAACAGGCAGTGCAGCTGCAGTTACATCCCAACTGAAGCAACCATCACTAAACAAATGATTTGTGCAGGACAACAGAACAAAGGAGCGTGTCAGGTGAGAGCATTTACAAACTGGTGTAACATCATGTTTTCCCGTTAACATGACCAAAACATGTTTAAGGAGACCAAGCAGCAGTTAGAACAGCCAAAAGAATCAAAATAAACCAATTGTAGCTTTTCATGTTGAGCACCAAAACTTTATGTCGCATTACTCGTCTACACAATGCCAATGTAGTTTTGTGCAGGTAAACTACTGCCTTTTTGCATTTTCTCTGACCATTTTAGGGAGACTCCGGAGGACCCTTGCAATGTAAACAAGGCTCATCTTGGATCCAAGCTGGTATCACGAGTTTTGGAATGCCTTGTGCCACTGCTGGTTTCCCTGAAGTCTATGCCCGAGTCTCATCGTTTCAGGACTGGATCAGCACTCAAGTGGCAGGCTCCACAGTGGGATTTGTGACATTTAATCCTACTGGTGTTGACTCAGACAGCAACTTCGTGTGCAACGCCACAATCAGTTTAAACGCAGTCGGAGTCTCAGTGAAGTTTTCATTAACACTTGTCCCACTAAGTGTCGCTGCATACGTTATAAATCTATAGAAATGTTTGTTACAAACATTTCTGATGCACTTTAAGTCAGTTCACTTTAGAGAAAAATTAAAGTTTAACATGAAATTTTGATGCTTTTGGATGAGTTTAAATAATTTGAAACTTTTAAAATGCATCTGGATCCAGCCAAATCAGATAAAAACAAAGTTTACACGTTATATACAGTACTGTTAATACATTTTCCCTACACATCATTCTGGTGTCATTGGTAATATTCAGCCCTGCTGATGAGCATGTGATGTAATTTTGTCAAATTATTTTAAACTTAGTTTGATGGGCTTCCACATGTTTATATACAAGTATTTCTTAGTTTTGGTTTTACAGAACTTCTTTCCTGCTCAATTACTATTCATTAATTCAACCTTTATTTATACAGACTAGCCTCAATGAGCCACAAGGACTCATTTGCAAGAGGGACCTGTTCCAGACAGAACATATATAAAGTACAGACAACAATAACAGGAAATAATGATTGCAATAAACTACAGTAAAAATTTAGTTAAAACAATTGTAATGCATACAACAATAAATCAGGGTGCGGTAAAACAGGGTGAAATACTAAAAACAAGAACATATTTGCTTTGACTTTTCTATTGACATCATCAAATGTTTGAAACCCCTTAAAAAAATCAGGGTGGACAACTTTAGTTGCAAGATGTTCCAAGTTGTAGAAGCTGAGGCGAAAAAGGCCTTTTTGCCAAGTTCAGTCCACATTGAGGGAACGCTGCAGGTAATGATGTCCTGAGAGCGCATGTTGTAACTGCACTGACAGCGTGACATGTGGAAGTAAATATAAGAATGTAGCAGACCAAGGAGGGATTTATAGATGAAAATGAACCAGTGTGAGAGCCTACGTGTAGATAATGATGACTAACTGACCAAGGAGTACAGGGTGCAGTGATGGGTACAGTAGTTACAACCAGTAATGAATCTTAGCGCACCATGGTAGACCGCATCCAACATCTGCAAGCAGCTGGCAGGGACATTCATGTAAATAATGTCACCATAGTCAATGGCCGGTAGGAAGGAGCATTTAAGGTGTTTTCTGGCATTCAGAGTTAAGCAAGATCTATTTCTGAAGAAGAAACCCAGTTTTAATTTCAGTTTATTTATCAAGTTTTTGATATGTGGTTTAAAAGAAAGATCAAAAGTGCATCGACCAAAATTCCCAAGTATTTGTAAGAATCTACAAACTCAATAGGAACACTATGCATGGATGAGATAGGAGGAAGAGTTGCTGGCACCGACTTTCTGTTGGAAAACGACATCCCTTTGGTTTTGTCAGCACCAGCTTGAGATGGAATAAGTCTGACTGAATGATGTCTAATGCAGACTGTAGAAGCTGGGAAACCTTAGCAACTGTGTTAGCTCGGCAATAAACAACAGCATAGAGATGCAAGGATGTGTCAGGAATGTTTTGACCTACATTATTTATATAAAGTGTAAAAAGAGTGAGACCTAAAACTGAGCCTTGTAGCACACCACTGGTGAATGTTAGGTAGCTAGATGAAGTTCCATTATGTCGAACACTGACTCCGACCTGAGAGATAGTTTAAGAACCAACCAACAGCCAACTAATTTATTTGGTTATTGATAAAGGTTTCAAATTATATATATATATATAAAAAAACCTCTTAGATGATGTCACTGTGATTATAATCAATACAAAACTACAGCATTTCTTTTCATATATGTTATTTAAAAAAACACAAATTAAAAATGGCAGAGTTTCATTTATCATAAAGCACCTGTCAATATGTAGCTGAATATAACAAAGCTGTTATTGTTTTCTGTTGACATTTAAACAAACTGCAACACATGTTGTGGTATTTTTGTAAATTTGCCTGAAGGAATCTTCCCAAGGGATCAATAAAGTTCAATCTAAATTCTAATCTAACCTGCAATTTTTTTTCATAAAGCGTCCAAATATTGTTCTTGCTCTTGTAGTAGTTTTGTTTGAATGTATACAAAACGAGAATAAAAAAAGTGATAAAATGAACAAACAAACAATAAACAAAAAAGACTGAGTTTTTCGAGTACACCAGGGATCTGAGAATTTCCTTCACAGTGACCCTCATACTAACACTGCTTTTACCTGCGTTTTCTGGCACACCAGAAAATCCGTATTCTTGCAAATTGAACCAAGTTGAGCTTCATCTATTGGGTTGAATAAAAGTAGTTAGCATCTGTTTGAAATTTACAAATACAAGGTACTTGGCACAGCAATGATGCCAAAGTTACATTTGATTTATGTATAATAAAACTTAATGAATGGAGTTCTCTGACCTCTGTTTTTATTTGTACACTTGCCATTTACTGGGCTCCGTACTTTGAAATAATTTACCATGTATCTATGTACATTCCTGTTCATTTCGAAAAGGGGCAAAATTGTGCAAGCAATGGACAAATAAATTGTCTTTGAAGGAGAAGCTGTATGAAGATGTCCATAAACAACCTTTGTGCAGTTATGAATGTGCATGTGCAACATCAGTATTTTGCAATGCTTGTGGTCTAAACAGTTTCATGCCTACTTCCGGTTCATTGAAATACACTTTGTTTAGTGTTCATGACTAACTCTGTTTCATCTGTGCTCTGCAGTCATTCAATCACCCGACAACACTGTGCGTCAACAGAAAATACCAATGAAACTAATTGACAAATATATTTGTACATAACAGTCAATAAAAATCTGATGTAAAATACATTGCTATGAAACTTTTTGGGGTTGCAGTGCTGAATTTTGTGCATTAACATTAGTAACTATGAAAATGTCAGTGAACTAGGTCAGAGAGTGTAGTATGACAACTATGCCACTGTGGGGACTACAGCTGTCTGTGTGCACGTCTACAACGGAGTTCCTGCTTTCAAATGACAGAAGAATTTTTAGTTAAGGATAGTTAAAGATAAATATGAAGCCATTGTGAGTTCTGGTAGTGATGTCCTAAGTGCAACAAAACAGAATACTGTATTTAAGCTCAAACCCTTTAACCTATGGTTTTTGCTATTTAGCATTTAACCATTTTTACATGTGTTGGATAATTTAATCATCCTATCATCAACTCATTAAATAATTAAGCCACACAAAGAAACAAGAAGATCTTTATAAATCCAGGTTTAATTGCAAGAAGTAGCAGCAGTTCAAAAAAAAAAACAAGCATCGAGATCTTACATCGAGATCGTCTCACAAGGTCTGCTCATAGGCGGTATGAGGAAGTCTTTTTAAAAAAATGTTTATCAGACAGAAGCAAGGTTAAGACAACCACTGCTTCATAGCTCACAGCTCTTGAAGGCGTCAGTTAACAGAAGTCAGAAGGAGAAACAGTTTTCAGTTATCAGACTCCTCTCTGAGTAGACAGAACGACTCCCTACTTCACATACTGTACATGATTATATAAAGTGTGACATTAGTAAGTGAAAAACATCCATGACCTTTACATCCCCATCAACATGACTACCTGATGTGGTGTTACTAATAAAAAAAGACAAGAAGGCATACAAGAATGTTACGTCTCCTTAAAAATAAACAAACAAAAAGAACCAACCAAACAAACTGAATGAATAAAAAAATAAATAAAAACAGTTCCTGTTCCTAACTAAAA